CTGGCTAGGACTTCCAGTACTATGTTAAATAAAAATGGCAGGAATGGACATGTTTGTCTTGTTTTGATCTTAGAGGAAAGGCTTTTAGCTTTTTACTGTTGACTATGATGTTAATGGTGGGCTTGTCATATATGGCCTTTATGGTGATGATATACATTCCTTGTATACCTAATTTGTTGAGAGTTTTTATCATGAAGGATGTTGAATTGTGTTAAATGCTTTTGCAGCACCTACTGAGAAAATATGATGTTTATCCTTTATTCTGTTAATGTGGTGTATCACATTTATTGATTTTCATACGTAGTACCATTCTTGCATCCCAGGGATAAATCCACTTGGATATGCTGTATGAACATTTTAATATACTGTTGATTCAGTTTGCTAGCATTTTGTTGAGGATTTTTGCATCTATATTTGTCAGGGATGTTGGCCTGTACTTTTCTTTTCTTGAAATATCCAAATCAGGCAGCTTTGGTATTAGGGTAATGCTGGCCTCAAAATGAGTCTGGAAATGTTCCCTTCTCTTTAATTTTTTGGAAGAGTTTGAGCAGCATTGATATTAGTTCTTATATATTTGGTAGAATTCACTAGTGAAACATCTGATCTTGTTTTTTTTCTTTGTTGGGAAATTTTAAATTATTGATTCAATATTGATCTGTCCAGATTTTCTATTACTTCATGATTCAGTCTTGGTAGCCTGTGTATTTCTAGGAATTTACACATTTCTTTTAGGTTATCCAATTTGTTGCTACATAATTGTTTATCATAGTCTCTTACAATTCTTTGTATTTCTGTGGAATTAATTGTAGTGTCTCCTGTTTCATTTACAATTATATTTATTTGAGTCTTCTCTCTCTCTTTTTTTTTTTAGTTAGTCTAGCTAAAGGTCTGGCAATTTTGTTTACCTTTTCATGAAACCAACTAATTTTTTGTTGATCTTTTCTATTGTTTTTCTAGTTTCTATTCCATTTATTTGTTTTCATCTTCATTATTTCATTCCTTCTGTAACTTTGTGCTTAGTTTGTTCTTCTAGTTTCTTGAGGTGTAAAGTTTGGTTGTTTTTTTTTAGGTCTTTCTTTTTTTCTTAATGTAGGCATTTATTGTTATTAACTTTTCTCTTAAAACTGCTTTTGCAGCATGTCATAAGTTTTTGTATGTTATTTTCATTTGTCTCAAGATATTTAAAATTTTTCCTTTGATTTCTTCTTTGATCCATTGGTTGTTCAGGAATGTGTTGTTTAGTTTTCATATGTATGTGAATTTTCTAATTTTACTCCTATTATTGCTTCCTATTATTATTGTACATATCATGTGGGTGAAAAAGATACTCGATATGATTTCAGTCTTAAATTTAAGACCAGTTTTATGGCTTAACTTATGATCTATCCTGGAGAATGTTCTGTGTATACTTGAGAATGTATATTCTGATGCTATCAGATGGCATGCTTTGTATATGTCTATAGTCCACCATAAGTGCTGTAGGCTTTATTAATTCTTTTTAATTGTTTTTTTCTTTTTGTAATTTGTATTATTTTCCTGATTTTGTTGAGTTGTCTATCTGTGTTCTTTTTTATCTAACTGAGCTTCTTTAAGATGATTATTTTGAATTCTTTTTCAGGCAATTAATAAATCTCCATTTCTTTGGGGTCAGCTACTAGAGTTTATTTTGTTCCTTTGGTAATATCATATTTCTTTGAGTCTTCATGTTCCTTGAAACCTTGTATTCCTGTCTTCACATTTGAAGAAGCAGTCACTTTCTCCAGGTTTTACTGACTAGCTTCTGGTAGAAAGGTCTTCATGAGTCATCCTTGCCAGAGATACTGGGGGTCTCTTAGATTCTTTCTATGGATGCACTTGCTCCATTCCTCTTGTTCCCTGTGAAGAAGTCTTAGACTCTGTGCCTTCTCTTGATCCCACAAAGCCAGGCCAGGTGTTGAGAGCCTCCTATTTGTTTTCTCTAGGGCAGTACCCTGAAGTGTTTGTTCAGCATTGTGCACCCTTTCCCAATCGAGCAGATTCAGCTGGATGCCAATATCTGTGTGCTGTCTGTGGGAGCTCACATGCATTGTCTGCAGGGGAGCATGGAGTGTTGGCTACAAGAGGGGACTGCATGGAGCACTGCATGGTGCACAGTGGCTAATCATGGGGTCTGCAGGTGGGGGGTCCTACTGGGTTCATGGTCAGGGCTCTTATTAGAGTCTGTAATCTAGTTAGTAGGATCTGCTGCTGGTTGTTGATATCTGTATACTGGTTTCTACGAGCGCCTACCCTTTTTCTCTACTCTTTGCTGTCCCCAGATTACTTAGCTATTTCAATTCTCTCAATGTTCTGGGTGTGGAGAGATGGAAATGGGACTCTTGGACACCTTCCCGCAAGGCTGGGGAGCCAAGTGTTCACTTTGTTTTCGCTTTTCCCAATGGGAAAAGTTGTAGGCCAAGGTGAGTCTCTCTTGATCTGAGCTGTGTTGCCTTGGGAGAGAGGTGACATGGGTAAAGTGAAACTGTTCTTCTTATCCTCTTCAGTGCTTCTGTTCTTTGATGTTTTTGCTCCACGTGGTTACTAGAACCTCTCAGTTGTCCTCCCACGCTTTCATAAAGGTATTCTCATTATTGTTATTGTTAAAATCAGTATTTCTTTAGGGGTATGACATACGGAACTTCCTATTTCATCATCTCACTGATGTCCAGAAGAGATCATTCTTTATTTCAGTAGGTCTCAAATATCCAGTGATATTTCATAGAACATTAAAGTTATTTAAATAACCTCACCTTTTAATTGACTCAGTGACAAAGTTAGTGAAAACTTCTATAGGATATGAATAGGGTGACATTAAATTTAGGCAGAATCAAGAGGCTGCATGTGGGCATCAGACATCAGAGCAGGCAATGGTTTGAGTTTAGATGAGCTTGAAGAATCTGAGTCTTAAAAGTCTTAAAAGTCAACAAAAAAGTAAAAATCCAAAGGCTAGGATAGTTTGGGGAATGGCTGTGGAGAGCAGGAACTGGGGTGAACTTATTCCTACAATAGAGGATGTTTTCTGACATGAAATCACAGCCAGAACACCTAAAATTACTAGTTTCTTCTTGTAATACTTATAGGTGTATAGATTTCAAATTTAATCAACTTCTCCTATCATTACAATGCTGGAAACAGGTTAACTCTCCCTATCACATCTACTAATTGGATTTGAGCAATCAAAGAAAAATTCTCTTGCCCTCAGTGTCTCTTCTTAATGATGATGTCACATTGGAGGGACATTTTCAAAAAGGTTTTAATTGGTCAATTATTGTTATGAAAATTGGAGTGGAATGTTTATACTAAATTAGTGAGCCAAAGAGGACATGGTAAAAATGGCAAATGAAATAAGGAGGTATATTTAGATGCAAATGAATCCTTGTCTGATGGGCAAGCCCATGGTTGGGATTATTGTCTCACCAAAAAAATTATGCATTGGATAAAGAAAATGTTAAATTTGGCATTTGTAAAATTCATTTCTTTTTAAAAATTTGTTTCCATCTAAAAGAGAAAAATGGAGATACTCAGTAGAGAAGTAGAAAAATAGGAAGGAAATAGAGGCATGAAAGGAAGAATTCTTCTGAATAATTTTAAAATATTTAAATAATTTTCTATGAGATCTATTTCTAATTTACATTTTACATTATATCATATAATATGTGAACATTACACAGTACTATTTTTTCTTTTTGTATAATTGTTCTAATATTATTTTTCTTTCCATAATGATTTTCTTTTCCTAACTTGGCCTAGAGCTGTAGCTTTTAAAATTTTATCCTGGCTACTTTAGATCCCCTAATATTTATCATAATATGATATAGTACAACCATCAGTGTAAGATTATATCTATACACAATATACACATACCTCTCTGTATATGTAAATATATATGATTGTGCACTCTGAAGATCAATGAATTTCAGTGTGTATATTTGTGTGTAAAGACTGACACATGCACACACATTCTGAAGTTCACTATATGATTTCATTTTATGTTAAAGGTTCTACAGAGAGCTTTCATTTGATACTAACTAGTTCTTTAATTATGACATTATGCTCAAACCTTGAAAGGCTTCCTCTCTTACTGTATTTTAAGAAAAGATCCTTAGAGCCTCATATTCTCCACCTTTTCTTCAAAGTCTGTAGATTATCTTGACTTCTGTTGCCTGAAGACATATCTAAAGGAAACCTTAAAAATACCATGTCAGATTTCAATGGTGGGAAATGGCTGGAAGTTACAATCAACAGGAAGATAGAATTTTACTTTTAAAATGAATAATTAAAATTTAGAATTCTCTTTGATACGTTAGTATTAAGGTTAATTAGATTGTATGACTTACAGTGAGGCATAACGAAAACAGTATTGAATTAGGTATTGTAAGACCTTAATACTTGTTTGAGCTTCACCATTTAATAGCTTAATGACCTTGGGCAAGACAGTCTCAGCCTCACTCACCATCAATTGAAATGTGTGGTTAACAATATCTTTACTGCCCACCTCTTTATAGTGTTGTCAAGATGAGATAATATATGTGAAAATATTTTGTAAACAATGAAGTGCTAAATGAAAATGACAATTGTAAAGAACAGTTAATATGTGCCAGACACTGTATTAAGCATTCATATCATTCTTACAGCCGTTTTATGAGATAAACAATGTTAATATTCCAGTTTTACACATCAGGAAGGTGAGGCTTACAGCACATAAGACACCTGAGTGAGCTCACACCATTAGTGAATGGGAAGGGCAAGATTTGAATACAGATTTGGCTGACACTAGAATCAATGCTCATAATTTCACAATTTTTGTCACTGCCCTGAATAATTGCTTTATAGAATGATACATGAACTGGGTGAGACAGTAAAAGCACAGTTGTCTTTATCATCACATATGAATTCCAAATGTGAAAACAAAAATGCTAATTATTTTTCCTAAAAATAGAATATCATGGAGTTCTAACCATCTAAATGTGTTTTTCCTTTAGAATTTAATTGTCTTGGATCCACTCACAGTGACTGAGGAGGAAACAAGACCATCCCTAGAGAAACGCCTCGAAGCCATTATCAGTGGGGCTGCTCTGTTGGCTGACTCTTCATGTACGAGGGATTTCCATCGGGAGCGAATTATCGCAGAATGCAATGCCATTCGCCAGGCTCTCCAGGACCTGCTTTCAGAGTACATGAACAATGTAGGTAACTGGTTTTCCCCCACCCCATCCATTGGGTATGTGCTGAGGTTCTTTTGGTGTACAAAATCTGATAAATTACAAATGAGTACCTGATTTTACATGGATTGGCCTTTTGAGCAAGGAGACAGGAGTTTCTAGGGATGGAATTCAACCAGAAGGTTATTTATACATGATTGTTTTGCTTGAGACAGTATCTAAATACTAGTTGAAGAAGGCAGTCAGGATTGGAGAAAGGAAACTGGAGTTGCACATTAATTTAAAGGATAAAAAGAAGACAAAGAAAAGGGCAGGTTGCTCCGGATTATGTTGGTGAATAACAAAGTTAGAATTTAGATGGTATTGGGATAAAGTCAATGCTGTAGGGATCGGGGGCCATTTTTGAAGTTGTAATTTGGATCCCTTTTAACCTTTTTCAAATGTGACAATGTCATCGATTTTTTGCAATTTTAGCCGTCTCTCAGGAATGTTAGAAACAATGTCTGAATTTAGAGAAATGCAAAAATATTTGTGTCAGGGTCCTTTTGATATAATTTCATATATATATATTTATTTATGATATATTCTTTTTGTATATATATCTACATCCATCTATGGAGTATCTATGACTACTCTTACATTCAAAACTTAGTTGCATTTTTAAAATAAGGAAGACATTGTCAGCTATATACTGATCATGAATATTGACTCCTTAAATAATAGAGGTAAAAAAAAGAAAAATTTGTAATGGGAATATTTTGTTCATCTGCTTTATTATAAATGGAATAATTCAAGAGTTATGAGGGTATATTTTGAAAATGATTAGTTACAAAGCATAAGATTTTTTAGGTGTGAGATTGAAGATTTAGGATTTTTCAGTATAAGTAATTTATGTGAATAATTCAAATGTGCTAAAATTAGTGAGTTTTAGGCTTCTTCAACACATTTGATGTATCTCCACACTCTTAATATTTGATGACTTTGGCTTCTGACCAAAAATCTCTTGCCTGTCAAGAAATCAAAGTCATAAAGCAGATTTTGTTAGTAAGAGGACCATATTAGTAATGTCATGTCCTGCTTCTGAAGCTGGAGTATCACAATTTTTAGCATATAATATATTTTTAAAGATTTTTAAAGAGAATTCACCAGTTACAGGAAACTCAGAAGATAATATTCTGTTGGAATTCCTTCTCCCCTGATCTGTAAACTATTAAAATTAGTAGTTTCATTTTATAGATAAAATATGGTAAAGGGGGGGCTTCCCTGGTGGCGCAGTGCTTGAGGGTCCGCCTGGCGATGCAGGAGACGCGGGTTCGTGCCCCGTTTCGGGAAGATCCCACGTGCCGCGGAGCGGCTGGGCCCGTGAGCCATGGCCGCTGAGCCTGCGCGTCCGGAGCCTGTGCTCCGCAAATGGGAGAGGCCACAACAGTGAGAGGCCCGCATAACGCAAGAAAAAAAAAAAAAAATATGGTAAAGTTATATATGTTTATTTTATCTATAAATTATAAAATTATAGATAAATTTACTTTATTAAATATAGAGAAAGTTACTCTATTCTTTTAAATACAGACATAACAGATGCACATGCACACACTCACCCACATACATAGGCAGGGATGGCCATGTAATTGTGGAGCCCAGTGCCCAGTGCAAAATGAAAATGTAAGGCCTGTTCAAAAGCCGGGAAAAAAAGAAAGTTTTTTCCTTTTTTTTACAGTCTTTATTGACCCAAGAAAGGTTATTTTTATTTGCTATTTAATGTTTGGTTGTTTGGTTCTCTAGGGTATAGGGATACTTTTGGACTTTGGGGAGCACAAAGACCCTCACAGATTTCTTTAGCCTTAGCCCATAACCCCCACCCATCCTGCCTTGTACCAAGGGCCCCACCAGGAATGGAGGGTGGCAGCAATTGCTGGGTTGTGGAGCAGGTGGCTGAGGACCTGTCCCTTGAAGGCACTGGGAGGCAGGACTGCATGTTAAGTCTAGGGCGTATGCTTTATTGCCCCATCAGACTTCACTTATCTACACAAATTGAAAGGTAAAATTGTTAAGACTTTCAAAACTGTGATAGCAGAGCATTAAAAGCCAAACACAGGGCTCCTTTCTGAGCATGCTGCCTTTTGCCCAGTGGCAGGACGCTGAAGTTGCTCTTGTACGTAGTAAACATATACCATATAAAAATAATGGTGATTTTATGGCTTTCTTCAACTTTGGGTTAAAAACTGTTCATACAAAGGGTGAAGTGATGGGCACATTCTGCCATGGGTGCAATCAGTAAGAAGATGCATTGCCTCTAGAAATTTATAAAAAATAATAAAGCCAACTAAAAGTTGGCCTGCACCAGCAATTCTCAAAGTCAGTGATAATGTTTTTCATAAATTCATTTTTTCTCTAAATCCTAAATAATTGCTGTGGTTATTGTTGAGTTTTAATAATATATGTGTATGTATGATTCAAATTAACACATTTTTATGACTATCCTTTGATAAACATTATATTCTTTATGGATTTAAACAGCAGATTCAGAATAAACAATGATGACAGTGATTGTAAAGACAGAGAACTAGTTACTTTAATTCTGTTATTTCATGTGATCACTTGGAATTTTAATTTAAATTTTAAAATTATAACAATGAAACAGTGTGAATTGCAGGGGGTAATATTTTTGTTAGGTAAATATAAATTTCATACATGAAATATTTCATTCAATTTGAATAATAACTTTGAAATTTGTTTTCCTTCTGAAAATTGTCAATTGCTTTAAAGAACAAATCAGGAAAATAATGATTATGACTGAAAAGTAATTTTGTCATATAGAGGACGGGGGCATTTAAAAAGTATCTGGGTATCAAACATGCTAAGTAAGGCACTGAAAATATGTATGCACTTTTGTACATTTACTGCTTTTTTTCTTAATGAGGTTTTAATCTGATGTTCAGTTTCAAGGCCCATTTGTGAAGTATACAAAACTTATTTATGTTACTAATATCCTTCTGTTAGATATTTTGGTTTATAAAAGGTAAGTTCTGTGTTAGAAGAGTGAAGTGGAAAGACTCTTCCATCTATAATATCCAAGTAAATGAGATCAAAGGTAAGTAGCTATTTTTTAGCTTGTCCAGATAATTATTTTAATTTTAAGTTTTTAAGGGTAGACTTAATTGTAGGAATTCAAATATTTCTCACTTATTTAATTGATCAGATTGCACTACTCTTCATGCCTGATGGAGACTTTCTTCTTCCTTCCTCTCTCCCCCATGTTTCCTCTTCTCTCCTTCCGGCAAAGGAGTACAAACATCCCCTGAAATATCTCTCCCTCATGGCACTTTCCCCTTTAAAACTCTCATTCCTGTTGGAATTCCTGTGTTGCCTTCTCCACTGGTCAGAAGCTCTAGGAGAGCGAGGGCTGTGTCCCTGGCCCTGCCACTGAGCCTTTCAGGTAGCAGGTGCTCAGTAATTACTATTTGGATACAGGTAAATTGAATTAGCACTTGCTTCTTCTCAGTTTTTAAAATTAAAATGGCAATGTGCCTGAAGCAATTAATTTGTAATTATTTATTTATATGATAACTGTGGAGAAAATGTAGGGAGGGTTAATAGTGAGAACAGGAATACAAGAAAGAGCGAGGACAGAGGTGAGAAAACTTGTTCTGTGGGTGATCTAAGAATATTTATATATTGCTTTTTCCCAGGGCATAATGTTAAGTACTTGTTGAGGAAGGCATTTTTCTTCAGGGAATGAAAGACTTATCGTGTGTGTGGCTAATGTCTGGTGACCTGCCCTCATGTTGGTGTAGGGATGAGAGCAGGAGTTAAGTTATACAGTGGTGGTTCACAGGATCAGAAACCCATTTATATATTAACATTTTATTGATAAGTACAACCTATTAATAAACAAAAATATTCATTTATATCATTATGAAAAGCACTCAAAAAGCAGTATAATAGTTCCTTTTTATATAAAAGTGCAGAATTTTAGGCTTAATGTGACTATCTGACCAAGCCAATGAATATTGGAATTAAAAAGCAGGAACCAATCTGGAAAAACTGTGGGGTGGGTGTATTATCAGAACACATTTCCAGGTTTATTTTTACTCTAGGTTTCTATCACCAATAATGCTTCTCTATAACTGTTTCTTCAGCTTTAACGGAACGGAATGTACTTCCCTGAAACTAGCTGAACTCAAAACTTTCTCAGTTTGCTCAAAAATTTTAGGACAACTCTCATACTTAAGTCCTCAACTTCCTAGTTTAAGGAATGTTGTGTCTCATTTGGTGGGCCTGATTTGCTTTTCAGATTAGTTTGGAGCTTTTGTTATTGACCTATGTTGATCAAGTAAATGCTTAAATATAATTCAGATGCAGTAAAGATAACCAGGAGAAGTTAAAGCAAAATTCACTCTCATCAGGATCTGTGGATCTTTTATGTGAATGTGACTTCAAGCCTTCAAATTTGGCAAGTTTATTGAGTCCACAGCAGTTCAGTAGTGGGGAATAAATGCAGTTTATGTTTTTCTCAGGCTCAGTTCACATGACCAGTTTGAGTCTAAATAACTTTACTTCCTTAAACAGATCAGCAAGTCTCGATCATTTTTTGACTGAAGCTCTAGGTTCAATAAGTTCAATGTCTTGTCACGTTAGTAAGAAATTAGCAGGATGTGAGTCCAGATGGGTCTATAACAAATAAAACAGACAACCACCTAACCATATGATCATATATGTTTGCTCTAATATTTTCATTCTAAATATACATATATATTAGTTTAAATATATGTATGTATATATATATATATGTTTTCTATTGCTGCTGTAACAAATTATCACAAACTTAGTGGTTTAAAAACAACACAATAATTATTTTACAACTGTGTAGGTCAGAAGTCTGACACAGGTGTCAATGGGTTGGAAATGAAAGTGTCAGTAGGGCTGCATTCTTTTCTGGAGACTGTAGGGAGGAATCCATTTCTTTGCCTTTTCCAGTTTCTGGAGGTCACCCACATTCCCTGGCTCAATGCCTTCTTCCTCCA